ATATATATTTTTGCTTTTGGGTTTAGATACCCTTTAAAGTGTATTTCTACTTTTGCAGACAAATTTGACAAATCCCTTCTATATGATTGTGTTCCCATTCGCACAGCACAATTCTTTAAAACATATTTCTTACCTTTTTAGACGTCTGTGTGTAGTAGACATGCGCACCGGCAAAAAATGTGTTTCGTTTAGTTTTGATTCGGATTCTGCGTGATTTCGTTTTTCGGGATTCGGTTCCGAAACTCAATTCGTTTTGGGATTTGGATGAAATTCGTTAGTGGTAGTTTGTACGAAGTTTTGGTTTTGTTTTCGTTTCTTTCGATGCAGCAAAGTGACATTCAATTTTTTTATTTTCTTTTAATGTCACTTTGCTACAACGAAAATCCGTCCACAAATGTAAATTCTTGCAGATTACCACTAACAAATTTCATCCAAAATTTAGTTTTCGGAAATTCGGATTCGTTTTCATTTGACATTTCTGTTATTCGGAAATTTAGATACTTCCGAATCTCTGAATAACGAAAATTTGTCCGAAAAACTAATTTTTCCGAAACGAATCGCGCATGTCTAGTGTGTAGTTGAAGCCTACGCAATCTTCTCTTAGTTTCCGAGTAACAGGAAACTCTCTGTCCCCATTGAAAGACTAGGGACAGACTGAGCTTCCCCTCATTGACATACAATGCTTCTAGATCGTTAACCCTTTGTTTGGACAGACATTGTTCAAACCTAGTTTACAACTGATAATGAGATCTGCCAGCACAATACAGACAGGGTTAATTAGGATAACATTACTCTCCCATGCTCCTTTGCTTCCCAGAGGGAAATTCAGTACGGAGAACAACTTTTACATGGAACATGTACTGTGTAAGGAGTAGAGATGCACAGATACTTTTTCGAGTACCAATGCAGACACTTGGCATTTTCATGAAAACTACCAGGGTTGCAGCTGGGACCGGGCTCTGGCGCTCCACCGCTGTCCTGAAATCATTGGTCTTTATTGTTTTAGAAAAACTGCCACATGACAATAAACAAAAATGTATCAGTACTCGTACTTGAAAAAGTGGTATCGGTGCATCCCTTTATATATATATATATATATATATATATATATAAACAAAATCGCACATTAAAACAGAGATGTACAAATCCCAGGAGCTCCGTGTGCTCCTTACAAATGACAGCTGCCTCCTAACTTTAGAATTTTTCTCTAGTCTAGTCTTGGAGCTGGAAAAGTATGTGTACGGTACTTGCTATCGGTGCATCCCTAGGATGGAGCAATCAAAAATAAAGTTATGCTATGTCAATGAGAAACATGTAATGAATGTAAAATAGGTGTTATTACAATTTGGATGCAAAAGTGGAAATACACTTTTAAGTGCTTTGAGATGTGGACTTGAACTAAGCGCATAGGTATGCAAAAGCAAAGTGAAGTCAGCACTAATCTGCATAAGTGTTTCAGATCAGTTTCTTAAAAAGTAGTGAAGCCAATGGACCAGCATGACAGCCAGGGAACTATTAAGGTGCTTGTCCAGTTTTTAGTTTTGGATAGATCAGAAGGGTTAGGTTTTTACACTGGCCATAAGCTGGCAGACTTTTGTATGAACGGTCCTGGGAAAAATCTCATCAGAACATTCGATAACGCCATCAGAGACTGGACATTTGGTTTGATTTCAACATTCAATTTTGGAAATGAATGGAGTTTCCTGAATGAAAACCACATTCAATGTTAGAATTTCATTCAGTCGAGAAACATTTTTCCATCCTGCTCCTACGCTTATTTTTTCCTCACTACGGTTGAAGTCGATTATTTGACTATGAAACAATTTGTTTTCGGAATGTTTGCTTGATTTTCTAAAACACAATTCTGCTGGTGTATTGCCAACTTTACTGTTACCTGGAAGTTTCCTATCTCTTCCTTTCATGCTGCCAATTATTTATGGGAAGAAGGAACCCCAGTCAGATTTTTAGATCTGTCTACAAGCAAGATTATACATAGTGTTTTGGTTATACTATACATCATCACCAGGTTGAATGTTGGTCAGCAAAGGTGGTCATGATTACTTATATATATTATGTACAACAGAATGTCAGAGACCATTCGGTCCTTTTAACCCAATTGTCCCCAATATTCCGAGGTTAGATGGGCTAAACCTTGCTTCTACATTACAGCAAGTAATGCTCTCTTTTTGTTGTACAGCTCCAAGCTCTTGTGAATGCTCAGGTATGCAGCAGAAGACTGCACCGTGTAGTTGGAAAACATGTGTCGACTGCCAATTACATCAAGTTAAAAAAATAGGTTCTACAGTACCCGATCATACTTGGTTAGGAGAAAATGTTTCAGGTGGTACTAAAAGCTGCAGGTTAATCTGTTTCAAGTGGCAACATACATACATACATACATACATAGAGGTTGGTGGCACAGACACATTTCTACCCCAGGAATTTATCCCGGATCTCGTTTTTTTTTTTTTTTTTTATTTTGGCCCCCGTATACACACACTAAATAGCAGGATGCGAGAAAACACACAGCATCACTATCTGGCTTTTATTCCCCTTACGCCATCCAAACATGTTCCCAAATTTTTTTTCTGTGTGCACCAGGTGAAGTTTAAAGCTGAACTCCGGCACTTTATCTTTTTCATATGCTTTTGGTGCTTGGTGGAAAACTGTTCTTATTAATTCCCCCCCATGTTCCTTTTCATTGAAGGACATTGGAACAGGCATACTTCCCGTCTGTAGACGACACCCAGCCTCCCCTGGGTGTCGTCTACAGCCTCCCCCAAATCCATGGACAGTGGTAGATATGCCCCCTGGCCACAAGAGGTGTCAATCACAGTTGCTGTGTCCTATGTGGTGCACATAACTTCCATAGAGCTAGTTTCATCTGCTTTAGACAAAGTTACTGCAGAGCCTGTCCTTCCCTGTGCACACTGAATCCGAGGCTGAGGAACTCCTCTGCAGTAGTTGGCATGTTGCTCAGAGCATTGTCTGTACAGTGTGATCTGGACTGCAAACACATATAATAGCACCTTGCTTCATCTGGATGAGAAGGGGGTTATCTGTAGGAGTGGATCCCTTCTTTCCTGTGCACCCTGAAATGCTAGAGGCAAACTCCTCTGCAGCAAGTTGTGTGTTGCTCTGCATGTGTGAATGCGCTGTTGTTCATCAGTGAGTACAACTGACTGTTTCTTTATTGCATTTTATAGACAAAATATGGATAAATGTGCATGTAGTGCTGAGATCTACTGAATGTTTTTTTTTCTATTTACCCTGCTCTACATTTTATGGCACCTCAAGAACTGCCCTTAAAATTACTGCAATGAACTCTTAATGTCTACTACAATTATAGGACTAATTGTGTGATTCAATAAGCAGACTCTTCCACAGATCAAAGTTGCGTCATTGTATATGACAAGGGTGGGCAACCTCGTTGCTCCAGCTGCGGTTACAAATCCCATCATGCCTCTGGTTGTCAGAGTCTTACAATGCCTCATGTGAGTGACAAGGTTGCCTACCCCTGGTGTACGATATACAACTCTAAAATAGAAAATACAGATTTTTACATACTTTGGTTTTTCAGTCCAAGATTTTACATACTTAAAACAGAACTCCAAATGAAACAATTAAGGACCATATGAGCAAACTATGAGGCCTAGAGGGCCCCAGGACTGATAGTAGATCTTGTATATCCTCCTGCACACCCATTCAGTATTTATTGTGAATGTTTTATCTGCCAGTGTAGTGCTCTGTGGTGGTTTTGAACAAACATCCTCAAAAGCCTCTCCATGACACCAACTTCTTGCATGAACTAGTCTAGCCGATGTACTGATATTTGATCCAGTAAGGGGCCCCAGCATATGTTGTAGATTGCAAATACTTAGTGAGCCACATAGATTAAATTGTACAGAGTTCTGATGTTGAAGGAAAAATGTGCTTTTAGAACAATTTTTCCTTTACGGAAACCCCCCCCCCTTCATGAATGTGGCTCACCTGGTATAATACTTTCTTACCAACGCCTTCCAACTTTCTTCACTGTGTGGCGGTGACCGACTCATATTCCCCCTGCCAGGTCATCTCTGAGCACTTGTGCTGCAGTCCCAGACATTCCTATGGGAGAGTTTTACCAGGAGTATGGCTCTTCCATAGGATTGAATGGGGCATCGACACACATGCACACCAAGAGTACCCAACCAAGACATTTTTGTATGAATGACACACATGCACACCAAGAGTACCCAACCAAGACATTTTTGTATGAATGACACACATGCGCACCAAGAGTACCCAACCAAGACATTTTTTGTATGAATGAATGGGGCAGAGGCATACATGTTTACCAAGAGGACCCAATTGGGACATTTTGGTGCACATGCATGCCTCTACCCCATTTATTCATACACAAAAGTCCCAATTGGGTCCTCTTGGTGCGCATGCATGCCTCTGCCCCATTAATTCATACAAAAATGTCCCAACTGGGACATTTTGTATAAATGAATGGAGCAACGGCATGCATGTGAACTAAGAGGACCCATCAAGGGGCATTTTTTATAGAAGAGGCTGTGCGGCACCAGGCACGGCTGCTCAGTAAAGATCATGCAACCTTTCCTGTGAAAACATCCCTGGCAGGTCATCGTAGTGCATGCGTTTGCTGTAGTCCCAGTCATTCTTATGGGAGGCCACCACGAGTACAGCTCTCCTATAGGAATGAATGGGGCAGCGGCATGCATGCACACAAAGAGGACCCGGCTGGGATGTTTTTGTAGGAAAGGCTGTGCAACACCAGGCAGGGCTGCTCAGTGAAGGTCACTGGAAACGGAGGAAAATAAGTATGTAACCAAACAGGCTGACTCATGGGAAGTATACATTAAAGGAAAGCTTTTAATAATACAGTTGTCCTTTAAATAAAAGATAACAAGTGTCCATTCGTGTATTTACTGGCGATTTATTGCCCACACGAAGCCCAATTTAAGAAACAAGTTCCCAACAAACGGAATTGAGCTTCCATTTCAAACCAAGGAGTACAGAAGCCCCTCATTGTTCCATGAAGACAAACAGTAACTGGTATTAGACTACAGCGATCAGGTCATACAAGATATACAATATCTATAGAGGAGTCACATGACCCGCACAGGCACTTAGGATCCCCCCATGTGATGACTACTTCCTCTTCCTCTGTTGTCGTCTCTGCTCTCCTCTCATGTCCTTCTTCATTCTCCCGTCCACAACCTTAAACTGCCCTTTGATTCCAGGAGGACGGCGCACCTTCTTTCCAGCTCCTTTCTTGGATACCACATATGTCACTTGGCGTTTCTCCTTCCCGAGCCCGGCTTTCTTATATACACTGCAAATGTGAACAGCAAGAAGTCATAAGTAAACCATTACAGAACGTCAATGACTGCTAAATGACAGGTGCACTTTAATCTTAATGTCCTCAGGAGGGCAGGTTCAGAATTGTCCAAACTGACTTTTTAACCTCTTACTACCGTATGTGGTTTCATTTAATGTTAAAATGTGTTTTTGACATGAAAAATTTACTTAAAGGAGAACTATGGGGTAAGTAGTAGTAGTAGTAAGTACTTAGTAGTACAAACTAGTGTCCTCCCGTCACCCTAATCTCAGTATACCGCAAGCTACAGCTCGTGGTATACTGAGACGCTGAAGCGGATCCCGACAATTATGTCTGGATCTGCCCAGCTGCGTGAGTGACAGCTGGCTCTGCCTATCTAGAGGCAGAGGCAGCTGTACCCGCCCCCTCCCCCGTCCGTTCCGCCAGTCAGCGCTGGAGGATCGGAGCGGGGAATCCAGCCCCTCCCGTCACAGCAGAGCGCCGTGACAGGATCGAGAAGTGAGCGAACGCCGGTATGTGTTCGCTCACCTCCCGATCTACTGAGCCGACCTGTGACAGTCTCATTGTCACAGGTCGGCTAGAACTATGAGGTGAGTGAAAAGCACTCGCCTCATAGTTCTCCTTTAACCAGAAACTTCACCCCCCCTTTTTAATCCAATTCTGGGTTGTCTTTAATTCACTTACTCACCCACCCAGCATTGTCCTGCTGTGATCTCTGTCCTCTTGCCGCACGGCCGGGTCCCTCGCTGCCATCTTCTATCCTGACGTCATTGGCAGCCAGCTGTCCCTTCGGGGTTAGGCAGCTGGCCCCCAAATAACACGCCACCAGGCCCGCCATCTTCCTCAATCCGTTGTATGGAAGACGATGCCTCCTGGGATATATGACGTGGATATCACAGGAGGCACCAGGAGCGGAGCATGGAGCAATTTTTTGTTTTTTTCAGGATGACGATCTGCTTTTACACTTTTGCTGCCAGAGCCGATTTTGAATTTTTTTTTGCACACGTTAAAAAGGGCAATTCAGACCTGAAAATTGATTAAAGCCCCCCCCCCCCCTTCCATTAAACATTTCCTGAAAACAGAGAGCTTGGGAAATAAAATGGAGGCAGTTACAATTTTTTATGTCACACAATTTAAGCGCAACAGTTTATCAAACTCAAATTTTACACCAAAAATGCATTCCACTTCCTTTTAGTGCATGGAAAAAATATAAAATAAGAGTGTGCCGAATAAATAGATACCAAACATGCCAATTCTCAAAATTGCATTAGCCTGTGAAGCGGCGGAAAACTGTGATACCCAAAGTTGTTCATAGGCAATGCTTTAAATGCCTTTATAGGTCTTCAGTTGGGAGTTAACTGCGAATAATGGTCCAATTAGAATAATAAAATTAATAAATTAATTTTATTTAAAAAAATAATAGCCCTGGAATTATTGCTCAAACTCCAGGCTGCGCGGTGATATCTAACATGTGGAGCGTAAATGTCATTTTCATACATAGGTTCACCCAACACATGCCTGTATACGCAGGGGCTTTCATTTTTATTTAAAAAATTTAAGTTGAGTAAAATGAATAAACTTTTTTACACTTATGTCCCTGGCAGCGAAGGGGTTTAAGCCCCTAAAATAATGTCCCGCAAAGGCTCCCTACGTCTCTGGTGTCTCCAGGCTTTGTTTATTGGTAGCTTGATTGTACAGCCGAAACATCTACAGGAATTGTGGGATGCAATCATGTCATCATGGACCTCAGCAGCCTCATAGGAAGGTTGTTAAATACGTGATCGGTGTCACATAAAATTAAGAGCAAAGGGAGCCCCCTACCCCAGAGTTAGGCAACCTCAGCACTCCAGCTGTTGTAGAACTACAGGTCCCATGAGGAATTAGAAGACTGACCGCCAGACATGACTCGCAGAGGTAGTATTATTATTATTATAGGTATTTATATAGCGCCAACAAATTACACAGCACTTTACATAGTTGCACGTTCACATCAGTCCCTACCCTCAAGAAGCTTACAATCTAAGGTCCCTATCTCACATACATACACAGAGGGCCAACTTAGAAAGGAGCCAATTAACCTACCAGCAGGTCTTTGGAGTGTGGAAGGAAACCAGGCAAGCACAGGGAGAACATGCAAACTCCTTGCAGATAGTGACCCTGGCCGGGATTCGAACCAGGGACCCCCAGTGCTGCAAGGCAGAAGCAGATATTCCTGATTGGTTATGCCACTGTGCTGCCATGTGTAGTAGAGCAGTAGTTTTATCACAGCTGGAGTGCTGAGGTTGTCCATCATTGCCCTAGCCGGTGTATAATACAGGAATGCTGTACTCATAATGCCCAGGAAAAGGCACCTACCTGCGGAGTTGGGCAGCTTTTTCTCTCTCCGAGATGTCTATGGTGTTCACCACTGCTTCTGCTTTTCTCTTGGCTTGCTCCATCTTCTTTAGCATCTGCACAGCAAACATTAAAAAAATAAAATAATGACTTATGCACATGAGCCTCTTATTTGCCAGCAACTCAAAGCCACAAACAGGACGCTCCTGCCAATAATCAAGGTAAGAAATAATTCACTAAGGGGCATATTTAGAAACTTTTCACAGGGCCCTTTGCCCAGGGAATATCTGTCAGCGTTCGTTCTCTGCAGTTTTATGCCAAAACAAATGCTCTTTAGTTGCTTCTTCACAAGGCAATGTTATTTGAAATCTTTTTTTCCCATGTAATATCACATTATGGCCACTAGATGACACTGTAATACTTAGATACTGATTTCCAATGCTCCTCTAGTATGATCTAGTGGCCATAACGCAATATTACACCAAAAAAATAAATCCATGAAGCTGGCTTCCTGGCCAATTAGGGAGGCTGGTCATTACCCGCCGCACGGCTTCCTGATTGGCCGGGAAGCCAGCTCCATCCTGTTTGGCCGGCTCAAAACTGATTGGCTGAGAAGCCGGCTTCCTGGCCAAACAGCATGGAGCCAGCTTCCCAGCCAATCAGGAAGCCAGTGGCGAGTCATTACCCACCGCCCGGCTCCACGTTCCCTCGCGACACTGCCACAGGAAATCAGGGGTAAGTATGGGAGCATTGTGGGCAGGTACGAGTACTCACCCCAATACTCGGTATTGGCTAATATATATATATATATATCTCTAGATAGATAGATACCCTGTTTCCCCCGAAAATAAGACCTACCCCCGAAAATAAGACCTAGTACTGTTTATGGGAATTGCTAAAATATAAGACCTACCCTGAAAATAAGACTTAGTTGTGACTATTCCCAGGGCCCGTGGTGGCATAAGGGGGAACTTGAAGAGCCGCAGGAGAGAATCAGTGGTGCCAACTAAGCCAGCGCTAGAGGAAGCGAGGCGGCACCGGAGGGAGCAGAGCCGCATAAGCCGATGCCTCCTCTATAGCGCCGACTCCTGTCACTGGCGGATAACAAAATCTAATGACAGCTGACCAGATGGGGTATTTATGTGCACTGAATTGGAGTTTCACTGTCAGCTTTGCCTGAGGCCACCCGTCATTGAAATCATAAATCACAAGGCGCATCATCTCACCCTTCTTCGCTTTCTGGCTTTTGCTTCAGCCACCTTCTTAATTGGTCGAGCGTTCAGCTCTCGTTGCCTTCGGCGGTATTCCTCCATTGTTTGGCGGTCCACAGGAACCTGGACATTCCGATGCTTGCGTTCTTCAGAGATAAACCAGTCTGGAAGTTCGTCTTCCACGTCATTATGGGCACGTCTGTGAAGAAGTTGAAAAATGAAGCACATGAAGCCAGGGGGGCATGTAGCTCAGAGGATCTTAACCCCCCCCACATGCAGTTAATTTGCTTTCAACACCGTTTTACCTTGTGCGCTGGGTTGAGTTTAGATAGCATAATCACCTGGCCACCGAATCCAGCGTTGTCCTGCTGTGATCCACCAATCCCCTACACCCCACCACCTTGAAAAGAAATCCAATGGATGCTCGGATGCTCAGAAACAGAGGGGTCTCTGCCAGGTCCCACAGACACAGAATACCTGAACAGTGACTGCAGATCACTGGCTGAAGTCACTGTTAGGCTGGGAATTTTCAGGCCTGCAGCGGGGAGGGAATCAAATGATTTCTCCTGTTCACCTCTGCTGTATGGCCATCTTAAATCTATCCAAAAAAATTAAAATACACGTTTTGGCTTTAAAGGGTAATTCCAGTTTCTCATCAAATATCACACACTGCAGTTACCCCAACTGGCATTACTCTTTAAATATATTTTATGGAGACTCTGAATATTTCCAGAAGGTTATATGAGCATTTATGCATGTTATTGACCTGTAAAAGCCTCCTTTGTGTAGACATCTAAAAGCCCCAAAATGTCTGCTGGGCACCGCCATCTTGGATGTGATGTCAGCAGCCCCAGAGTTAGAGATGTCACTCAAGTAACACTCTACAGTATTCCCTTTTACTTCTTCTCTGACTGACTGACTGCTACAGAAAAGGTTAGATAGGAAGGGGTGGGGGATCTGGGCCTTACTTTCCCCACTATAAATACCATAGATCAGAAGATCCATGAAGAATAGTGTTACGGTCATTTGATCCTCAGTAAGGTACAGTATCTATAGTAATGTATACCGGAGATGACAATCAGATGTAGAGCTCATAACAGCCCTTAGTAGCATTCCCCCCCTTCCCCAAACCTGGCAAGGGATCTAATTCTGCCCCATTCTATTCACACCCCAAAAAAATCAAATCAATGGTAAGAGAATTGCACTGCAGAAGTACTGACTTGTTAAAGGAGTTGTCTATCAGATCTCTGGTGGCTTTCTTAGATGTGGCAATGATGGTTCCAATGGCCAAACCTTCTGGATCCAGGACACGAGAGCGCTTCACTGCAAAAACAAAAGCCTGAGGTTAGCAACCACTATGTTCAGCAAACCAAACTGGTTACCTGTAAGCAGGCCTGGCGAGAAACACACAAAAAACATTTTCCAAAGCATTCCTAATATTGGAGGCTAAAATGTGTTTCTCCTGACTTCTGTGGGCTCCATGTAGGTTTACAAATGGATGAATTTCTTTTTCTTTTTTAATATTGTAATTGTGCCACACAACTACATTAATAAAGAGTGGAACCTGCAGGCTGAAAACTTTTTTCCCTGAATTAAGCCTCCATATGCCATAATGATTAGGGATGCACCAATATCGTTTTTTTTGGTATCGAGTAGGAGTACCAAAATTATTTCTACAGTACTCGCCAATAACGATATTGGAAGTCCCATTAAGGAAGTCGAGCGCGTGTAATGACCCTGCCGGCGAGCTTCCTGATTAACCAGGAAGTCGAGCGGCGTAATGACTTGCCACCTGGCTTCCCGATTAGCCGGGAAGCTCCATGCTCCCTCGCCACCAGATGTTGAGGAAGCACGGAGGCGGCTTTCTGGCCAATCAGGACGACGGGGAGCGGGTAATTACTCGCCGCCGGGCTTCCTGATTAGCCAGCTTCTCGACTAATCAGGGAGATGGGCGGCGAGTCATTACACAACGTCCAGGCTTCCTGATTGTAACGAGGGAGCATGAAGACGGCTTCCTGCCCAAAGTGATGGAGTATGGAGCCAGCTACCTGGCCAATCAGGAAGCCGAGGGGTGACTCATCATTCACCTCCTGGCTTGCTGATTGGCCAAGAAGCCAGCTCCATGCTCCCTGGTGACAAGGGAGCATGGAAGCAGCTGCCTGGTCAATCAGGAAGTCGGGCAGCGGGTAATGATGCGCCTCCCGGCTTCCTGATACTGGAAGTTCAGGATAGGCATCGGGAGCATATGGCCAAGTAGGAGTACTCGCCTAAATACTCGGTATCGCCACCAATACTAGTAACGGTGCATCCCTAATGATCAGATGATTAACCGAAATAAAGACTGCATGATTGGTTCCTCATTGTTAGGGGGGACCAAAGTGGTCAGCAATAGCCAGGTTGGCCGACACTGTGCTCAGGCACTAGCTGTCAAAAGTATCAACTTAGATTAACAATCCCTTCAGCATGAACATCAATGAACAGATTATGGGTGGATTACTTACATTTTCAAAAACGAGGAAGATTTAGACTCACATAACATCATAAGCATATCAGGCTCCTTTTCTATGCTAAAAACTCAATAATTGATTGGCCAAGACCACATGCGACAGGGTCAGCTATAGGGAAATGATCCCTGCATCCAGTGCATCATGTGCCCAGCTGGAAGACATCAGAAAACGGTGCATTATGCATTCACTGGTGGAGGCCTCAAGGGAGGTAGGGGGTGATGGAAAGGAGGAGGGGTATGGAGTACAGATTTAAACATTATTTCCGGTCTTCATCACTACAAAATAATCAGGCACTGTTCTAGATGATGAGTCTGAATGTATTGACAAGAGACCGTCATTGCTATTTATTGACCTTATACGGATACCTGGAGCTGGTCGTACCAGTTTATATTGGTCACATACTATATGGATCATTCTTGTTATATCGCCTTATAGCTTTATGTGTTTAAAAACATATACTACAACATGGTAGTTCAGGCACCTTCCAATTGTTTGAAAACACCCCGGTAGAAACTGGAACTCAACGTTAAGATACCAACCTGGACGTTCTATTGGAACCACTTCAAAGTCATCTGTCTCATCCTCATTTCCCCTTTTTCCAAGATTCCTCTTCAAAGATTTGATATGCCTACAGAACACATACATGGAGAAGACATTATAAATAAAGGCTGTCCTGCTTTACAAACACAATTCACAGCAGGCCTTACCCACCAACTCACCCTTCATCGTCATCACTGCTATCACTATCGGAGTCACTGGAGTCTTCAGTAGCTGCAGGCTGATTTACAACCTCTGCAGACGTTTCAGGACCCCTTGACTGTGTTTCTGTGTTGGCCTCTGTTGTGGTTTCTTCTGAGTGGCGTTTTTTCTTCCTGTCTTTCTTCTTCTCTTGTGTCTTGGGTCCTACACATCAATAATTGGGTGACTCATTTATAAGGTGTTAAGCGAAGCAGCATTATTCTCTCCATTTTGTGTGGAAGTACTAGAATGAAGATGGGCTGCAGTGCTTGTTTTTCCATTAGGACCTTACTGCTGTCAGGGACCTCCACTCACCCCTTAGCAGGACTGTGATATGACAAACTATGAATTGATCAACTCTGGCCTTGGTGATTTCTTTGAGATATTTTGAAGGAAAATTCATTAAAGGTTGCATGGAACAGAATACTGCATGACAAGGTCACCAGTCATTCATCAAAGGAATGCAAGGAGAACTCAGAGCTCAAAATAAATGGATGGAACAGTTGGTGAATTGTGCCATAGAGGCAACGTCTTAGCCCATGGTAAAAGAAATATTACAGCAACAAAATTAGGAACGACACCCAGATCTGGGATGCACAAGCCATCACAGCCTCTGTCGTATGGGGCATAACAGTGGTTGACCACACAGGGTATCTTTCTTATTTAAAAGCGTTCACAGTGGGCTAAGGAACATCAACATTTGCCTGTCAATCCATAGGTTTTACCACTTGTCTCTGGGCAGGTTAATAATACCGGCTAGCTCCAATTATGCAAATTCAATCAAGACCTTATCTCCATGAGGTTTCTGACCCGCCATGCTGGTTACGATTAACAGATTATGTGGATTGGAGCAACATTCACCATATTTATTCCCAGAGAATTGTTGTACAAGTCATTCTGAATTAAGAAAGATAGTCGGATGACCAGCGAAACGTCCTTAAGAAAAATACAGCAAGCCCAGTTGACTTGATTTGTTACAGATATACCATGACCTGGATGAATGAGACCCTTCACAGACATAGAAAAATTTTTCCTAGCCTTAAGGATTCAGCTGCCCCATCATGAAGCTAGAGTGTAGTTTAATCAAATGGAACATACTCCCGCGTAGTATCCAAACAAGAGATTGTGACTTTATCAATTCTGTGCAGTTTCGTGGCATACTACCATCTGCAGGATACTATGAAACCTTTATGTTAGGCAAGAGTACAGTTCAGAGTTTCATAGATACTGGAGATCTAAAGGCCACTGCTCTGCTGTTTGTTGACATCCAGCACGGCAAGTCCCCCCTCCCTCCTGGTAGCATTCATCTCTCAGCAGGAAGATGGCCGCGTGGATGTCTATGGGGTTGCAATGTGCCAAGGGAGCATCAAGGCACTGGATGCAAACGAAAACCTGAGTCGTTCCCGTTGGATCTTGGCAAGTCCAGATCTGCAGAGGGGGGATTGTTTAGGGCAGGGGTTACCAATTACAGCCAATTGACTGTTATTTATTGATTTGCCCTATGAGATGGCCGATTATAAGTAAATTAGGAAGACACCTATCTAACGTTGTTGTGGTTGTGTTGCCTGTCAGTTTAAGTCTCACAACACAGAGTCGAAAACATCTGTGCAGAAATACTGAGAGCTTACTAAATACAACGTCTGTATATAATAGAGCCGGACTACTTATTTGTGAATTGGTCAGTAGGACACGCCTAGGTAATAACATGCAAAAATACAACACAATGCTAATACGACCCCTTATGGTTTCCAGTGCAGTACCTTGTTTGCTCTCCTGTAAGATTGTGGCCTGTTTAATTTCCATCTCCTCATCAACATCAGACTGTAGTATAGATGAGAATATTCCCTGTAACAAAAGAAAGAAGCTACTTAACAAAGCTGCTGCTGTAGAAGGTAAAATACAAAAGATAAAAAAATAAATAAAAAAAATCATATAAAAAGGGACACCAATGATCCCACTTTGCAAAGATATTTAAGGCCTTACTCTATCTGATCTGCCAATAAAGTGGGGGTGTTAGTGGAAAGTGGGAGCAGTACCCCATGACCTCACTGGGGCCCAGGAACCTCATCCACTCACAGTTGTGTCCGTCAATGAATGACGGGGAATGCAAGGTATGCCCTGCAGCGAATACTGTGCAATCAATTTACTGTGGTAACCAAAAATAATATCACAGACAATGGCGGTAAGATTCGATTTGGCATCCGGAGCTGAATAATATGCACACTGAAGAATACAGTTATCGGGACATGCCAGTGTGAGTCAATTCAGAGTTACTGGGTTCTACTCAGGGTCCCTTCATCAGGCATAACAAAGAGACCATGAGCGGCCCCCGAAGCGTTGCTTTGTGACTAGATGTGTGTACATCAATAAAATGACCACTCGTTGAAGATTTTACTTTGGTGTGCTGGTGATACATTTTACTACTTGGATTTGAAGTGGCGCCATCCACCATCACCCAGCATACCTATAAGGAGTGCGATGGGGACCTCTCTGGAACTTACCGAGGCTGTAATCACCAGCTTGGCATCGGTATAGTTTTAAACACCAATCATCAGACCATAAACAGCTCACTGAATAGATTACATTGACTGCTAATGACTACTACAACTCCCAATTTGTCTTTGGAAATATGAAGGCCCCTGAGGTACTTTGTAAAAATCATGACATGACATCATACTGCACGTGCTCACCCACGAGCAGCCATCTACATCACTACGCTTCAGTGAACCATCTATTGCTTGGAAAGCTTGAGGCAGTTTGTGCTGGTGCTTGCAGCTTTCTATTGGTTCTTGGAAAAGTCAATTCATTGTAATTGTAGACTTGATTGAGGGAAGAGGTTTGTTTTTTTTCATGTATGACTGTTAGAACTCTGGAGTCCCAATAAACAGGAAACCCGGCTAAATAAACAAGAGGGCAGTGCAGGCACAAACTGACAGCGTACAGTCTTCCTTCCCATTGCTCCTCAAATCACTTTGCTACTGGAGCAATTTAAAAAAATGTTCACATGTTAAAATCTGCATTTTTAACAAGAACTAGAAATTTCAATAAAAACACACTATAATACATTTTAGTGCACACAAACACAATATGACCCCATTTGTTGTACAAAATAAAAGTTGAGGTTGTGTTGAGTAAAGAGATGCCAAATATGTCAAGCCTCCAAACTACGTGGCCTCCATAACAGTGAAAAAAAATGAAAAATAGGACTTTTCACTAACCATTAGCCCAGCGTTTTTCAACCACAGTGCCGCGGCACACTAGTGTGCCGTGAGATATTTTCTGGTGTGCCGTCAATAAATCGTTAATTTCTTTGATCGATCAAAATTATTTTGATCGATCAAAGTTACTCACCTCTCCGCAGCAGACTCGCATCAGCGTGTTGCCGTCACCAGATGGCATTTTTTTCCTGCTCGCGGGCAGGAAAGGCCCGCTCGTTTTTACAGCCGTTAACGGCTGTTTCACATGCAACCGATCAGCGGCTCTATAGCCACCAATCGGTTGTATGGCGTGATTTTTTCGTCCGACAGTCAAAGTACCGCAGCGCTCAATACTGAAAAATGGCCTGGATGGGAAGGGGGTTTAACACCCCGGACTTCAAGTGGTTAATATCCGTTTCTTGGAATACAGTACAGGACACAGGCAGATGCATAGAAGATTGGGTAATATGCCATTGACTAGACACTGGCCAGGGATGTGACCTCATAAAATCCCTTCCACTCCCATGAATCCTCAGTTTTGATTTGGCTAGTGTCCTTAGCTGATAGATGTCACCTCCCTACCGAGGGAGATGTATGAAGTATTGCCATCATTTCTGTATTCAATAAAGGATATAGAAGGGAGGGTGCCGTGTCCTTCAACATACTCCAAGAAATGCATTTTACTGCTATGTCAAAGATCCTATTTTTTTGCCACTGGCCAGTGTCCAATCGCCTAGCGATACCGGCATATTACCCAATCTTCTCTGAATCTGCCCGCCATGTATGATAAAGAAAATGGCAGTCTGGAGAGTTCCACTTTAATGCAAATAAGCAGTTCTCAAATGGACCTCTGACTTACCTTTCCAAACCATAAATTCTTATCTCTTTCTTCACGCTCGGATTTATCCTCCAGGGACAGCAGCAGAGGGTTTGTTGTCTCTTCATCCACCTCATGCGTCTGTTCATCTGGTTCTGGAACTCTGAGAGCAGAGGAAGATAATGGTCAACCTGCGAAACTATCTACCAGCTTGTTTCAGTATAATGTTAGTATGATGTCAGTATATTATTAGCATGATGTCAGGATAGGATCAGTATATTGGCAGTATGTCGTCAGTATAATCTTAGTATAATCTTAGTATGATGTCAGGATAGTATCAGTATAATCTTAGTATGATGTCAGGATAGTATCAGTATAATCTTAGTATGATGTCAGGATAGTATCAGTATAATCTTAGTATGATGTTTTCAGTATATTTTCAGTATATTCTTAGCATGATGTCAGGATAGTTTAAGTATATTGTAGAAATACACAGTGTGCACTTCTTGTAATAAAGACCGGTCACTGCTGCCCTCTCTCCTTGTGCAGGGTGACTGGTCTTGTCCCCGCCCCCTCCTGTCATAAAGACCAGTCACTGCTGCCCTCTCTCCTTGTGCAGGCTTACTGTTCTTGTCCCCGCCCCCTCCTGTAATAAAGACCAGTCACTGCTGCTCTCTCTCCTTGTGCAGGGTGACTGGTCTTATCTCTGCCCCCCTCCTGTAGTTTTCAGCAGGTATCCTGTAGTGGGTGGGACCGGGTGGGCCCCTCCCACAGCTCTGCTCTCTGCAGTGGTCCAATACAGTGGTGATGTCACTAGTAAACTTTCAAGGTAATACCTCTGTTTGTAAAGGCATTTGGTGCTCACAAAGTGGACTTATATCCTTAGTGGCTATTGAGGAATATAATTATATGAAGGGTTTTGTGCCCGGAGTTCATCTTTAAAGGACAGCTGTGCATTAAAGTGACACTTTGAACTTATTTCATACATGACAGACCTGAGCCATCCTAAATCACACCTAATTCCGTATACAGCAGCTCAGAGGACCCGTCTTACCTCTTTTTATTCTGCAGTTTTTGCTCACAGTTCCTCACTTCCTCCACGTCATCCTCATCCAGATCGCTGGCAAGGGAGATCTCATCCTCCAGGTTCTCATCGTCTGACAAAACCACATCTCCGTAGTCGAGAGCCGCGTCTGACACGAGGAAATCTGCGGCAGACATGTCTCCGCGTGACAACGTCTGCAAAAGCTAATACAGGGAAAGGCATATATGAGAAGACTCATTCGAAAAGGCAAAAGGTCAGGTCCAATGCATTAATAAATCACAACCAATGAGATCTCAGATTACTGCAGCAATATAACACAAAAATGAAAGCTGGACTCCAAGCAAACGGCTAAACACACAGATAAAAGATAAATATATATTAGAGAGAATATATATATAT